TTATTAAATAGATTTTTGTTTTAATAATAAAGAATTCTGAATTTAATAATAAAAATCATTAAACAATGATATTTAATAAAATAAGTTAATTTAATAAATTTATACTATTAAACAATGATATTTAATGATTTACATTATTAAATAATTATATTTAACAATATACATTATTAAATAATATATATTGACAATTCTGATATATATTAATATATATCAAATATCTGTTTTGATATACATTAGTGACTCTGATATATATCAATATATAATTAATAATAAAAATTGATACAAATCACCCCAAAAAATTTCCTAATGATTGGCACTAGAAAGTCTTTAAAATAATTGTAACTTTACTTATCTTTATATATAATTCAGACTTTGCCCTCAAAACTTATTATAAGTCATATTCTTGATAAAATTTACCTTCTTGAATATAGCTTGTAATATTATATAAACATCAAAACTGAAAATAAAGCTTGAAAATATGTCAAGAGAAATTTCTAGAAGATCTATAGAAATTAATTAAGAGTATTCTACAATATGTACAGGCATGCCTTGAAAATTGGTGTGTATATACAAGTTATCCAATATTAATAGCTATTTGTAGTAATCGTCAAATTACTTCTGCCATGTTTAATCTCAAATTTTAAATAACTCAAGTAGATTTGGTAATCTAATGACTTGTATAATTTTATGCCATTGGGATTAACTAACTTATAGCATTATTTTAATCAATAAATAAGTGTGATAACAAGTCATTTACTTATCTTAAGGAAAGTCAAGATAAAAATAAAGTTAAAATAAATTTTTTACATGAACTTTAAAATTTACATTTAATACCGACTTGCAACAGCTGTAACTGAGAGAAAGTAGCAACGTCACCTTTAATTATCTTGCATGGTTTCAAGGCCGAATAGCATAACATAAATATATATATAGATTTTTATTGGAGAAATTTATAAACCTATCCAAAACTAATTGAAATTGATATTTATAGTTTAGATTATATTTTTTGACCTTCGGGTATATTAAATATTTTGTTATTGGAAATAAACTAACTAAAAGATATTTATTTTACGATGTCATCAATTAAGACGATTGTTGATCTACATGTGAATTTAGGATAACGATAGTACGCGCGGACTCGAATGATTATCGTTATAACGATAAGAATAACTTACTTAATGCTCATCGACCATTCATCAATTTGAATACTGTAACTGTAATCTGAACAAAGATAAATAGCCGTTCCTAAAAAAAATACATCCCTATTGGTATCAATACAGCAGCAGCGATAGACAAAAAATGAAAATCCGAGTTACGCTCATTATTTCTTACCCAATCGTTATTAATTTTCTTTGTCTTTTTATATATCATAAACCTAAACGTTATAGTGAGCGAAACGAACAGTACCGCACTTATAAATATGAAAGCGATATTCATGTCTAGATTTGCTATTATTAGAAACTCAATCGCTACTATGAACAATAGTAACATATTTAAAAAAGACATGGCGTGATTCCTAGAAAAATTCTATGACTTATCGTTATATTTTGACTGATACATCTTAAGTTACGTTTGATGCATTGTTGATAATTTATAAATGAATTATATGAAAAATAATTTTATTTCCAGCCAACTTATTTACTTTAACATGCTAATGATATTTCTAAATTAAAAATACCCAAAATAAAATCGGCAAAAATTGGTTAAATAGAAAGGATTATAGCGACAATAATTATATGGTGAAGTCCAGATTGGATAGATTCCCGTTTTTCCGTAGAGATTGTAACGACGATATACATAACGTCTAAAGGGGGCGAATCCACGATATGTGAAATATCGACGAGCAGTGTATCTTGGGATTCCGTAAAGCCGACGACGAACAAGAAAGGCAGATGTTGACGGAATAATAGAGTTAACATTAACGTCATCGTTAGACACATCTGGATATTCGTCAAGAAAAGAATAAAGAATTGATGAAATTTTATCATTCTGTTGCACAGGATTTTCAAGTTGGCGCTCGATAATGGCATCGTTTTCGGGTACAATGTGATTCGCAATTGCGCAATTAATAACTGTTAAAATTGTCAATAAATAAAATGAAAAAAAGAGAATGGACGAGGTTTTTGAAGCCATATTCATCCTTTTTATAACTTTATCTATTCTTTTTGTGAAAGATAACAATCTATTGTGTTTGTTAGAAAGAAATCACTGTATAGAGGCTCGTTTTATAATATTTGAAAAAAATTACGTTATATAAATTAACGCCTATTTAGTTTATCAAAATTCAAATTATAGATAAAATCAAATACTTTATTTTATTGTTATCAATATTGGAAATGGCAATTTTATTGGTAAGACAAAGCTAATTATAAAAATAAATTGGCATTTA